GTCTCTCAAGAATTATGGTCCGAAGCGGTAAATTGCGCGGTATATATTCTGAACAGAACGGCAAACACTCAAATTGATAATATGACCGCATACGAGAAGTGGTTTGGCCGTAAGCCTACGTTAAAACATGTCCGCATTTTTGGAAGTATCGCTTACATGGCAATACCAGATCAGTTTCGAAAAAAGTTTGAGCCAAAATCCCGAAAATTATTGTTGGTAGGTTATGACGGTCATTCATCCAATTATAGACTTTGGGATCCTGAGAAACGTAGAATTGAAATCAGCTGTAATGTTAATTTCAACGAAAATGACCAATTTTCACCCAAAAAGGAAACATTTACCCTCTATTTTGACATATCAGAGAATTATGAACCACAAAATGAGACACTGGAAGTACCAGAAAATATAGATGAAAACAACCCTAGCGAAGAAATTACAGAAATAGAAGAAACTGCCGAAGAATATTTGAGTGATGAAGATTATCAATGTGAAGAAAATTTTGAGTTGAAAGATGAGAATAGAAGAGAATTAAGAGATAGAAGCAAGTTGTCAAGACCCAATTTTTATACTGCCTATGCTAATTATTGTTCACTTTCCGAACCTACGACATACGAAGAAGCCATCAGCTGTGAAGATTCTGATAAATGGCGCCTCGCTATGCAAGAAGAAATAAACGCGTTAAAGTGCAACAATACGTGGGACTTAGTAACATTACCGAAAAACGCGAAAATCGTTGACAATAAGTGGGTGTTTCGTATCAAAATATCTTCTGACGGCAAACCATCGCGCTATAAAGCACGTCTTGTCGCGCGGGGATTCACACAAGAAAAAGGGGTGGACTATCAAGAGACTTTCGCGCCGGTGGTACGATACGATTCTATTCGAATTCTGCTTGCATTGGCAACCGAACATGACATGCATATTTCTAATTTCGACGTACAAACAGCCTTTTTGTACGGCGATCTCTCGGAGTGTGTGTATATGAAACAGCCATCGGGGTTCGAAAACCAAAAGAAACCCGGTTTAGTGTGCAAATTAAACAGGAGCCTTTACGGACTAAAGCAATCAGCACGATGTTGGAACCGTAAGTTTGTTTCATTTTTAAATCAGTACGATTTTAAACAATTAAAAACAGACCCTTGTGTATTTCTTGGTCACTTTGCTGAGAATGAAATTTATCTGGCTATTTATGTCGACGACGGTCTGTTGATGTCAAAATCAAAAACTGCTATATCTGGACTTATTAATATTTTGAAACAGATGTTTAAAATCGTTGTAAATTTGGACAGTTCAAAACTAAATTTTGTTGGTCTTGGAATCGAACAAAATTTATCTGACGGTATAATTTGCATTCACCAACAAATGTACATAACTAGACTTGTAAATAAGTTTCAAATGAGTGATGCCAAACCCTTATCAGTTCCTGCGGAACCGAGTATTCTGTTGTCATTACCTGAAAATACAGTGTGTGCAAAAAAGCATCCTTATCGCGAAGCTGTCGGTTCTTTGATGTTTTTAGCAACGTGTAGTCGACCAGACATTTCTTTCGCAGTGAATCAAGTGAGTCGATTTTATAATAACTGGCAAGATGAACAGTGGCAAGCGGTTAAACGCATATTTCGTTATTTAAAGCTCACTGCTCATTATAAAATCGTTTTCTCTAAATCGCCAAAAATAAATCTATTCGGATATACAGATGCTGACTATGCAGGTTGTATAGACACACGAAAATCAACCAGCGGTTACGTTTTTGTTCTTGCAAATGCACCGATCACCTGGAAGTGTCAGAAACAAACCGTTGTTGCTCAGTCTACCACTGAGGCCGAATATTTAGCGTTATCACTCGGAGTACGAGAAGCTTTATGGCTGAAGTCTTTTCTAAACGAATTAGGAATAAACTTCCCACAAGTAAAAATTAATGTGGATAACCAATCAGCCATTAAACTAGCTCAGGCTCAGCAGCAACATAGAAGAACAAAACATATTGACATTAAAGTGCATTTTGTGCGTGACGAAATTGAAAAAGGTAACATTTCAGTCAATTATGTAAATTCTAACGAACAATTGGCAGATATTCTCACAAAGCCAGTTACAAAGACTGTTCTGAACAATTGCCTTCAAAAATTAAACATGTTATTGTAGTTATAGTTTATATCCGAATGTATTTTTTGAATAATGTTAATTCTTCTATAAAACACAAATAGGTGGGAGTGTTAAGAAGAAGTATTTGAGTTTTATTCTCCCGCTATAATTAGTTAGTTCTGTTCACCTAGTTATTACCTATAGAACCTGTAATGATTAGTATTGTCATTGTAAATTGAAATTGTCATTGTCACGCGAATTTGTCACGTATCTTTTCATTATAGTTAGACTCATTTCACTGTGTTTTATTAAACCTCAATAGGTTCATCTAATATCCTCTCCCTGAAATGAGAATCGGGCCCCAGGGCTGTGGTCTCCCACTCCCTGATGGGATTTTGACATGTTTGTCTCGATCATTTTCATCGTTCGAATTGTCCTAGATGCGTTGGCCATTCTTGTATTGGGAATACATATCGTATACGCAATGCTGATGTTGATTGAGCATTGTCTCAATCCTGGTGGAATTGGTTCCCCAAGAATCCTTCCTTCCTTCCAATCCTTCCTAGCCGTTCTCTATACTCTGGATAAAGGCCTCTCTCAGATTTTGCCAGGTATTTCTATTCTGTGCGACCTGGTACCAGTTTGGTCCTGCTGCCTACTTGATGTGGTCGTCTCAGCGTTGTTCAGGTCTGCCGACGCTTCTTCCTTCCTCCCAGGGTCTCCATCTTGTTAGTTTCTGCTCCAGTTGTTGCTTGTGCTTCTCGCTACGTTACCGGCCCAGTTCCATTTGAGGGTGAAATGTGAATGTGAAATGTCTTCGACCTTTTGTTGTATTTCTTATCCACTCGTTGGTCTTGTGATACCTATCATTCGCCTTTCGATTGCTCTCTGATGTACTGGTAGCTTATTCAGGATTTTCTTTGTGAGCGTTCATATTTAGCTTCCATAGACAACTACTGGCAGAATATATTCGTTGTAGACTTTAGTTTTGGGCTTCAACGGTAACTTGGACTGGAATATGTGGCGCCATACGCCGCCAATCCCAGTCGTATTCTCCTATTAATTTCAAGCTCTTGATTGACTTTGCCAAGTGTTATTTCTTGTCCTCGATACTTGTGGGAGTTTACTTTTTTCACCTATTGATTTTCTATGGATAATGTGTCCCTATCTGTTTCCTTATTTGTCATAAACTCTGTTTTTGATACGTTCATTTCTAATCTGAACTTCTTGGCTTCTTGGAGTAATTCTTTCATCATGATTCTGTCTATTTCATTCGGGGTGGATATTACGATGTCATCAGCAAATCCTAAATTGATGAGGTTTTCTCCAGATACATCGCTCCTGACGCTCCCTCTATTTTCCCAATAGAGTTCCTTGAACACATCTTCGAGGACTATGGTGAACAGCTTAGGTGATATTATATCGCCTTGTCTTACACCTCTTTTGATCTTGTCTCTTCATGTATTCTTAATTTTATTTTTGTTCCTTCTTGAATATTTTTGATTATGCATATATATCGCTGGTCTATTCGTACATTTCTCTTTCTCGTAGCTCTTTCTATCGCCCAGAATTTGATAGTGTCGAAGGCTCTCCTAAAATCGTTGAATGCTAGCCATTTTGTAATGCTATATTCTGTCGTCCTTTCATTTTTTGGTTTATCAGAACGACGATGGCAGTCTCTCCGTCGTGTGGTATTTTCTCCTCTGTTAGACATTTATTGAAGTGTGTTCAGTTTCAGTTAGGTAGTATTTTCCTGCCTCCTTCAGCATCTCTGATAGTATATTGTTTATTCCTCGGTCCATTCCTAGGGCTTTTCCGTTGTTTGATTAGTTTAGCGCTTCTGCAATTTCTTCCTCTTCTATATCAGGATCTATTTCGACCCAACATTTAGAATTTTGGAGGTTTCTTGTTTGTTATTTTCGTTGTTGCTTTTTGCGTCGTATTATATATAGAAATTTTCCGTCACACGCAATATTCCATCTCTGTCTTCTAAAATGTTTCCTTGTTTGGCCATCACAAAGCTGGTGAATTTCTTTTTTGTGTGCGTTCTCCCGTTTGAAAACGTTTTCGTTTTAGCCTTTTTGTTCTATTTGTTCTATCATATAATACAACAGACTCGGCAACATTGCGCGTTGATTTCTCATATGAATGCAGGTATTACAAAACCTGGCATCCGTTCAGACGTCAAGTATATTTTCCGCTCTTACGACTTGCACGAACTCCACTGGCGCGTGCGGAAAAGAAAAACTTGTTGTTTGAATAACGATTTCAGGATTCCTTATCAGCCCGCTGCCACTGATGAAAGCTTGTTCGCGGAGTAGCAGCACTACATTTTCTGTTTGATGGCATGGTATATTCAGAATCCAAAAGTATTATCAGGCTTGATTAACGATAAAAAAACATATTTCATTTTTTTTTTAACAAGCGACCTACTCGAGAAGAGGCAGCAGTGCCATTTCGTATTCCGCCATTAATAATATAACGAAGTGTATGCATGAACTTCAAAAGTTTTATCGGTCCTGTTATTTTGTCGCCGGCGCTTCAGCTATAATCGCTGACAAAATCCAAAAATGCTCTATGCAAATCCAAACGATTTAGCATTACCAATTCCGAAGTTCATGTTGAGTTTAAAATAATTTTAATGCAGATGAAGTGTTGGTAGCTTTAGCTGTAGGGCACATGTATTTGCAATTGGAAATTTACTTCCACTCTCCTCATGCAAAAATGTTATCTTGGGTTTCATAGGAAACCCTATAGGTGGTACAGTGTCAGCACCAGTTGCAAACACTCAAATGTCGGACACTGTTAAAGCAGTGTTTTCCGAATTTTCATCACTTTCATTTTTTCATCTTCCGAGTTTTCTGAAGAGAGTATATTCTGTAAGTGGAATAAAAGCAGGAACAAAATATATGCCTCACCTTCGCAATCCAATATGTAATCTCTGAAATAAGAAATTACCCTATTTTCGATTTGTCGTCTGTTGGAACCTGCCTCATTGTATTCAATATCAAATATTTTTCCAAGAACTTCTGATGTTTCTATTATCTTGTCGTTACAAAATACATCTTTAAATGGATGTGGGCATGCCTTCATTTGTTCATAGATGCCACATGTTTGCAATCCTTCAGTTGGTTCAGAGGCTCTTTCAACTTTTAATGTATCTAACAAAATGTAATCAATTAAGTAGAGTTATGTCGGAACATTTAAAGAATAAAATTCACCATAAAATATTTTCCATCTTTCGTCGACATGACATGCTTTATATAATGGCATCCAGCAATTGAGAAAATATTCCCTGACATAACAAATCTCCTGTAACTCAAGTAAATTTTCCGTATCTTTTAACAAAAATATCACAATATAAGGAATACAGAAATCGCCTAAATAAAATCCTTTTTTCGGATGTCAGTATCAACATCATCAAGAGTCGGCAATATATTTTAGACACCAGCGGTTAACATGGAGAACAGAGTTTCCGAAAAAAAAATGACGACCTGGTCCACCATGTATTAGGGAAAGTGATATGAGTCTGCCAGTTTCCTAGTAAAGTTTTTCTTCTAGGCTGTTGTTATGCAGTGAAATATTCATTTTGATTGCCCCAGTAAAAAGCTGTCTATTTTGAAGGAAGCCTAAAACTAATCTAAATAATTCGTTTATCGGTCCTCATTCATCGACCGCTCCTTCAGCGACACCCTCACAATCACTAAACTTCACTGATAATTTATTAAACGGCCGAAAGGTTTTCCGAAGGCATAGCTCTTATACAGCAGTTAAATATATCGGTACGGAAAACATTACATTTGTTCAAACTGTCATAATCTATTTTTTCTACAAACGTGTTAAAAATGCAATTTTTAACACGGCCCCGAAGCATTAAAAATGTTACTTTATCGCACTAGTACCATAAAGTCTTTATAGCACTAGTGTTAAAAGTGAAACATCAAATTTTGAGAGCGGACGTCAAAAAAAGTTTGTATTTTCAGTTATTTACATTGATATTAATGGTGAAATTTGAACAACTGAGGTAGCCCGATTGGCCGCCTCATCTATATTTTTCGAAGGATCGATGCAACCCTCTGTTTCTTCTGTATCTGACCACGACAGACTTTCAAGAAACTGACAAGACATTTCGTTACCTGTAAAACAAGGTGCTAGTTGTATGGATTTTTTGACAAATGTCAAATTCAAGAATTTTATGTAGGAAAGATGCTTCCAATTTATTATTCATTTAAAAATCCAATTTGTTAGTGGTTATTGCTTTTTATTGCCGTTTGTAGAAAAAATATTGTATGATATTTGTGTTAAAAGTATATTTAAGGCACTTATGTGAATTGCAGAATTCGTTTCGCTCATTCTGCAAACTTTCACATGCGTGCCCTAAAAATGTACTTTTAACACTTATATCATAAATAACTATTATGTTGCAATAGGGAATTTTCATATTTCTCAATTTATTTTTTTTTAGATACTTCTAGCGATCTGATATTACATGGTTCAATTTTTTTTCATTTTAATTTATACGTTGTACGAAAAAAAAATTATTGAAATTCAAATCAAAAACTTTGGCGCGAAAACGCGAGGTTTTAATATGACAGCACTTGTGACATCAATATTTTGTAAACAACAAACGCAGCAAACGAACTCCTGCTGACGCAGTGCTATTTTTGTGTTATTTAATGTGCCTATTCTGTAAATCGCCTTACAACACTGTAAATTTTAAAGCGCGTAAGTTTATATCGCGATGTATAATTAGGCAATCTACTGACCTGTCAAAAATGAAATTCAATTTGGAAGTTCGGGTCAAGCATTGGGTCAAGCACTGTGTTGTTTATTCTGTATGTCATTGATTCTGTCACATTCTGGACAAACGTCAAGATTTGAATTATCGGATTTTGTATTTTTTTGTGTGTTTAGGTATTGTGTTAATTAAAATGCCAGCGATGTGCATCGTAATTGGGTGTGGAAGTCGAGGTAACAGGAAAAATGTGAAATTTTATTCAGTTCCTGCTATTTCAAATCATTGGCAACGCAGGGCTTTATAGATTGCTGCAATTAAAAGAAAGGATCTAACAGAGGCTCAATTTGCCTTAGTAATAATACCTTAAAATATTCACTCTCCATCTCAGAATTTATTAATAAATTAAAAAATACGTAGAAACACTATAAACACTATAAATATCAGTTTGAAAACAACAAGGGCCAGAACACTAAAAAATACGTTGAAATACTAAAGACTATAAAATTCACTATGAAAACAACAATGGCCAAAACCAATAAAAAATATGTAGAAACACCAAAGACTATAAAATTCACTTCGAAAGCAACAAGAGCCAGAACCATTGGCCAGAACACAAATGTGCACAAATGCTCTCCTTATGAACGTCACCGGCTTGACACCCTTGTCACGGCAATATTTGACCCGAACGGCCATTATAAAATCACGTGATTGAGATTGCCTAATTGAAACTTACATTGAACGCCAAAACTCGTATTCCGTAACGCCTGGTGTAAAGTACATAATGTCTGCCCAGCGAGTCTGTGTCTACGGGGCAACGGTAAGGGGAATGCAGTTGTAAAAAAAAATGGCTGATTTCATTCATAAAATACCCAGCTGCGTGCGTAACTTTTTGGAAGTGTTATCGTATTGCAACTCGTACACGAAAATCAGCAATGACCAAATCTCCGCCACTGGATATGTCAATATAAATCGATATTCCAAGATGGGAGGATAAAATGACGTGAGCCCTGGCCAATAGCGAGACGTAAGTTGACGTTAGCTCTTTGACAACCGTATGGTTCCCCATGACAACGGCGATCCTGCCAAAAACTCCACCAATCAGGTTCATCCAGGACGGATGCTTGCCAAATTGTCAAAAGCTGATGGTATCTTTAGAAAATGTTTATTTTTTACAATAGACCAAACTGAAGAAATCAGGATTAAAATAAGGATAGGTCTAACAACCACGTTAAAATATTTAGCGTTTTATTATTGTTATCAATATTTTGTTATCAAAAAACGGATTTTCAAATTAACTATACTCATGCTTAGTATTTTCGCTTTTTTATAATTAAACGTGGCAACATGGCACATTTACGTCCGAATTCCTTCCGTAGACTCAGATCCGCTGGGCAAACAATAGCATGTACATAGTTACAGAGCTTTATTTATACCGCTCCTAACTTCATAGTAATAAACGTAACCTAATATTTCTGTAATTTGACAATGTTTGAAGGTAAAATATTTTGAAATAAAGGTGTCATATCCACTGGTCATATCTTTACCTTCTATAGTTCTCTTGTATAAATCAAATACGAAAGGAGGTAGGATTGACCCGATCACAGGCTGTTTTGCACCTTTCTTCAATGAATACGATTGAAAACCGACAAATAATATGAGCTGGGTGATCACGTTAATCCATTGTAATCGGATCAGCGTTTCCGTAAAGGCCTTGGGTGTGCCAAGTCTGGAAGAGTATGCGGCTCCAGAATTGGTTTATACAGCCGACAGTCATCAGAAAACACACAAGCGACGGAGAAAAGAAAGAAGAAAAACATACTCGGTATCGAGTGATTGCCTATGATGATGATGAAAGGCCTAATCTGTATTAATGTCATAATTAACTAATGTTTCTTTTTGTGATTTTATACAAGAATAGTTATTTTTGTCACAAGTACCTAAAATGAGATTTTTCAGGACGAATCATTGCTGTTTCCGGACGAGGCGTTAGCCGAGTCCAGAATAGCAGATGAGTCCTGAAAAACTTCTTCAGGTACGTGTGACGAACACTATTTTTTGTCATACGCTTTTTAGAATTCTTCAGAAAGCTAAAATTTGCAAAATTTCCTTAATTTTTGAAATCATAAAGGTGCATGCAGAAAGAAAAAAAAATCCTAAAGAGAAGCATTTTACGGACTTGAATGAGTCCGTAAAATAGCTGTTTTTGGGAGCGTATGACAATTTTTTTTTTTTTTTTTGTGTTATACGGTCAAAAATGTAACAGTATGTCTCCATTTCCGGCAACGTAAATTTACAGTAGGTGTAAGAATATTTTACAGCGCGATGTAAGTTACAGAATTCCTTTGTCGTAACATCCTTACAGCTCTCAAAGTTGCATCCCTTACAGTACGTTACATCGCATACAGAATCGCACCATATAAAAGTGGAAAAGCTTTCTTTTTGTGAAAATTGTCGCGATGGATGAAGAATATTATATAGGACTACTTTTGGAATTTAATTTCACTTGCAAGTTCCCTTTTGACAAGCTTGTTTACAGAATCGTGACGTCAAAAAAAGGGGCCATCATGGAAGCTTTGTTTTGGCGGGAATTTTTTTAATTCAAATTTAGTATTATTTTTTGTGTAACAAGGGGTATTAGTTAAATGAAAACTGGTCATATAGATATTGTACAGTATAGATTATCGATTTAAATCAAATTTGGGAAATTTTATTTCCCTTGCAAGTTCCCTATTTGCTCAGTATATCATATCGAGTAGAGTACGAGGCATTTCATCACTGTCTTCGATTTGTTCTAATAGATTTGGCATCTCCAAATTATTAGCAATACCTAAAGTTCATTTCACGAAACGAGATAGTGAAAGTAAACAAACTTTGACAGGTAAGTCGAATTTTATTGGCTAGAAAAAGATTATACTCCGCCCTAGGCAGGACCGTCTTAGGTTGTTTTGTATTTCTCTTTTCTGAATATATTTCTGAACAAATTCTTCAGCGGAATCTGTTGAACTTTATATTGTTTCAATCTAAATTGCTCACTAATTAACAATAATTCACCAAACACTATTTAAATAATTGTGAAATACTAGGAAATACGACATTAAACTTGACTCATATGACAACTTGACAATAATAAATGTCATTAGTTGTAATTTATATTGTGATTTATATTTCTGCAGTCCTTCTCTGAATTTTTAAGCTCCGCCTGTTTGTTTACCTCTTCTATCTCGTTTCGTGGAATGAACTTAGGTGAAGCGTTTCCTGAACCATCTAATATACTGTATAACAGCATATTCACTTCCTCCTGGCTAAACGTTAATCTTCTCTGATTTTGCATGCTAGAAAAATGTAGAGTAATAATTCGTATAGGTTTATCCATTAAAGAGAAATAATTTAAAATCTATACTGTGCGTTGCACATTATTGTGTGAGTACCTAATTGTAGATTACTTACATGTCTCTACACCGGAGTTCACAAAATTGCAATGAGGTTCTTCCTAAAAGTATAATATTTATATAACGTACGATTAGTCGTAACAGTAAGCAAACTTACACAATTATACAGTTGTTCAGGATTTATTCTTTGAAAAGTAAAATCATTAGATGATTGCATCGAATATCTATATACCGGGTGCCCACGAGATCACTTTCCGGCTGCCATTTTTTTATTTATTTATCGATATCAACGAAACTTGGTAGAGTTGATATTCTAACCAAACGCCATTTTTTTGCATTTATGACAAGTTTTCCCGACTTCCTGTTTCACCGGAAATGACAGCAACTTTTGATTTTTAAATGACACACCCTGTATATTTTTTGTTTTTCGGATTCTACAGATCGTTTTACATCCTAATGCACCACTTTTGAATCGATTTTTGTCCAAATTTTATTTTTAAATTAAATTTTATTTTTTTAACTAGAGTGCCATGATCATCCTAAAATGACTCTACATACTTTACTTAATTTCAGAAAAATACAAATTCAATTTTATCTTTGTGAACTTTTTTGATAGAGGGCTGTAAACTCCATTATTTCAGTATTTTTGCCCTAGCTCAAAAAGTTGAATAGAAACATATCACTTTCATAACATTACTAAATACAGTATTTTAAAGCGAATCCAACGACATAATACACTACGACATTTTTCTCAATTTTCGTTCATATACCTACTTATTTTTGTAGGTAATTTATTTTTTTTTTCTACCTAAAATTTAATTTGAAAACGAAATTTGGACAAAACTCGATATAAAAGTGATTCATTAGGACGTAAAACGATCTGTAGAATCCGATAAACAAAAAATATACAGGGTGTGCCATTTGAAAATAAAAAGTTTCTGTAATTTCCGGTGAAACCGGAAGTCAGAAAAAGTTGTCATAAATGCATAAAAATGGCGTTTGGTTAGAATATCAACCCTGCCAAATTTCGTTGATATCGATGAACAAATAAAAAAATGGCAGCCGGAAAGTAATCTCGTGGGCACCCGGTATATAAAACACAGCTGTTTTGCTTCTAGCACTTATAACTCGAGAACGGCTGAACTGATTTTTATGATTTTTCTTTATTGGATTTGTCTTTGTCCCTTACAACATAATAAATCGAAAAATCCAAAAAAAAAAAAAAACAAAAAACAAAATTACTTATTTTACTTATTTATGAAAAAAATTCACTAAGCCCGCATACGGCGCCATCTCTTATAACCCATACCAAGTTTACCGCCACATTTTCATTGGAAACCATTTTGTATACGGCGCCATCTCTGATACCTAGAACGAAGCTGTCCGTTGCGCGGTAATTTCATTGCAGATACAGTAGAACAATGGTGCTCAGGAACTGGAGCTATTCCGAACAGAACTTTTCCACTATTCCGACCAGATAGAGTGGTGTAGAAAGAGTAGATCAGATAGAATAGTGCAGATAGAGTAGAACAGATGGAGTAGTGCAGTGCAGATAGAGTGAAACAGGGCTGCGCTGTAGATTTTTTTTTTCTTTACATTCTTTGAACATTCCTGTGCCTGAGTCTATTTGGTGGTACACTTTACAAGAATAATGCCCACAAGCTGCCTTAAAAGGGATGATGTAAAATTTTAATTTTAGGTAACTTCTGATCTAGAGAGTAAACATTAATATTCTTCAACCAAAGCCAAATTCACCATCGAAAAAAACTGAATTTAATTCAGCTAATAGATACGTTAACACAACATTTAATAGGTATTTAATAATTCAGAGGCGGTACGAAGTTCGCCGGGTCAACTAGTACCTACTTAATATAATATCACTGTCCGTCTCCATTGTCAATGCCTAAAAATATAACACAGAACTATATAATTTACGGTTAGTTGTTAAAATAGAAAATTCACAGCACTAGGAAGTTCCTGCGCATTTGATGTTTGAAGCATCAAAACATCATTATTTAACTTAATTGAATATACACTTTCATTGTTCGCCTCCAATACACCACCATGATCCTTTTCCGAGCAAACTTTGTCCAAATTAATACTTGTACCATCCTCGCAGTCCTGAAAAAAAAAGTATTGCAATGACAAAAAAAGTAACCTGCAACAAATAAGAATTAAGTAATAAGGTACATATACATATTTTTTCTTTTTGCGCCTTTTTTTTGTAGCTAGATAAAACCTTAATTTGGTCAAACCAGTTGCTTCTAACATTTCCGCAACAGTTACATCTGTATCTATTCTGTGCCTTTTGAAATCGAACAGATCAACTATGAATTCATCTAATTGACCCTTTGTAGATTTTCCCTTGGGAAAAAAACGAATCTATTCCTTTTTCTATAATATAGTCTTTGTCCGCCTCTTTGGGGACCTTAATTTTTCGTGTTCCACCTCCTGAAATTTCTCTGACTGACTGACTCTAGCCAACACAGCTAACCGATTTCTATCTGTTTGTTATCGTGTGCCTTGCTAGTTTTAGCTTTCTTTGGTTTTTTTGGTCCTCATCTATTTTCAAATAGTCGTGACCATTTAGTTTTTGACGTTAGTTTTCTAAGAGAGATTGCTTTCTGCTCGAGATTGAACATTCCGTCTGAGACTGTAATTTACAAAATTGCCTCAATGCTATGCGATGTCCAAGTTTTGGAACAAATTCTGCCAGTTGCATATCATTCATCAACAGAATTATTGTTGGTTTAATCTGAAATGACAACACCAACCTATAGACATTTATTTCATGAACACACGAAAATAGTATGTACCATCGTCACCAAAAGTAACTGGAACAACATCATATTAGCTCTTGTACTATTAGGGTCAATCGAAGTAATGGGAAACGATTTTTGCAGACTTTATTTTGAAATTAGCTAGCAAAACTATCTATGGAAATTGTAAGTTTTCCTATGATTGACGGTTGCTTCTCGGCTTGGTTTATTAGAATATACTCCGAAAAACATTGAAATTATTGTTAAAGTTGAGGTGGGGATTTTTTTATGTGTTTCCATTTACCCCGTGAATATTTCCATTTACCCATCACATTGGGGTGAACGAAAACAAACTGGTTTTCACAATGAATATCAATTTAGCTCACCGCAAGGTAAATGAAAATATTCTTTAAACGTTCTTGAGTAGTTCCGATTAAAAGAAAATGCAATAAGAACAGTTAGTTCATTTATTGAAAGTACAAAATGTTAAACAAAATAGAATTCTTTAGCTTAAAAAATAATTATGAATATAACAACAGTAAGCAACTCTCATACATTTTAAGTGGTTTATTGATAAAAATATGAAAATAAGTCCCTAACAACAATGATACCCTGAGATATCGGGAAAAAACTGTCGACCACGCGTAATTTTTGATGGTTTTACAATAGCTAATATTTGGTCAAAAATAATCACTTGCTTATCTTCCACCAACGGAAATATGTAGGTAGCAGTTTCTTTACTGAACTTTCTCAAAAATTTAGCCGTTATATTATCCAATTCAACTATTTCTGCAACAAAATTTTTCCCGATCTCTTTTTTAGTGCCGAGATTGTAAATAAACTTCACAATTACAAAATCTCCAACTTTAATTTCTATTTTTTTACGCAGTTCTGCAAGTGGCATGTCCATTTCTGTTTCGTCCGAATTATCATAGCTTTCGACTTCGGCTTCCTTGTTTTCTTGTGCAATGTCCAAGTTTCTTTCTTCTGAACCCATAAATGTTGAATCCTCATCGGAATTGACGAACTTGGAATCGTCGGATTCATCGTGAAGAGAAATTATGTCATCGTCGTCGGAAGAACTTTCAGATTTTTTCTTTAACTTCTTTCCTGCGAGGTTCGTTTCGCTAGTTCTTGATGTCTGGACTATTTTCGGCCGTTTTATTTTCCTATTCTCAGCTTCTCTGAACCTAGCAGCTACCTCTTCCGTCGTTACTACCTCTCCATACCTCAACTGCTTTAAACGGGGTGTTGGTTTTTTTACGACTTGGATTTCACTTGTCATGGATCTTTTTTGACGTATTGCTTTAGCAAAAATGTGGGCAACTGTAGAGGGTGAACATAGAGTAGAATCTGTAACAGTAGCTGGTGATGAAGAGATGAAGGATTCTTTTATTAACCCAGAAGGCCCAGCATCTTCCAAGTCGGCCACAGATGGAGCTGAAGACCATGTTCTTTTATTTCTGGAGCAGAAGGAACAGATGAATTTGAATTTCCTGCTATTACTGTTTCGGGAGCAGTTTCGGTTACAGAGCCGATATATTATTTGTTCGTTTTCTATTCTGATAAGCTAGAAGCTGTATTGAATCAAACTCACTTTCTGGAAAACGATTGCGATTCACTGGAGAACTTCCTGTGGTGATGAATCCTGCTTGGATATTCGTTTTCCTCATAGCTTCTGCCCGAACAAAAGCCAAGAGTTCAACAAAATCACGTTTTCGCAAACGTCCCGTTCCAACACCAATATTGGCTTTGCCAAACTCAACCAACTTTCGGTCCTCATGCTTTTTTCACCGGACCAAATACGCATTTGTCTAAAAGGGTTGAATTTTGTCTGTGAGATGGCTGGGAAATTTTATAATTTGTATATTAGCCTCAATAGCAATTTCTATTATGCGTAGACTCATGTGGCTACACAGAAAAAAGAAAACGTTTAAGTTAACTAAATTTTGCGTTAATGTAACTAAATATATTCTTGATATAGGAGAAACTCATATATGTTTAATTTAAAGTTATAATATAATTGAATTTTTTTAGAAAAACTTATTTAATGTAAACACATATTAGTTAACGGGAAATATACATTAAATAATTTTTCTTTGGATTAGCGTTTATTCCAAATTATTATTTATTTGTATCACGCATTTCATGTATTTAAATACAAAGATCAGGTATTTGGCTTAATTTCTGTGTTATTTAGAAAACCAGAATATCTATTTTATCCAAATTAATATGTGTTGCAATAAATATATCATTTATTCCTTTCAAATATTTGCGTTGTTCAAATAATTAGATGCTTATTTAATATTTTTCACCACATTTTAAGGGTCCAGGGGAAAAGGATGATGCTCATATGAAAAAAAATTATTTTAAAAAATATTTACAAACAAAACAACACATATTGAAGAAATAATTGAAAAAAAAAAAACTATTCGTATAAAAAATAAAAAAAGTAGGTATACTTAGTACAAAATATACCTAACTGGTATAAAACCAAACACCGTTTAGATATTGTGTTCAAGGTTTTGTCAATTTTTTTTTGTTAAAGAACCGATCAGCTAAACTTAGATCTAGGTAAATGGAAACAAATACTGCCTAAAACAAAACTAAACTAAATTCTCAAAAACTGAAAAAAACACAAATTATTCACAATGTTCTATCACAAGAATGTTCAATGTTTGGTTTGCTACCGGTATCATGACGATTATGCGTGGCCCAACACAGCACTTCCAGAACGAGACTGAACAACAGAAAAATTCTGAAACTGGAAACGCAAACGAACGCAACTATAGCAGAGATGAGCCCGCTAAAAAGTTCATGTTCAAATCAAATTTGCATATTATTAAATAAATTAGAGCTTTGCCCTCCAAATAAACAAAAAATTACTTCAAATATAATATAAATTAAAAGTAATAATTAACCCTGAAATTTTGTTTTGTTACACACATAAATATTTATTTAATGGCTAATTTACATTATTTCAAGCAACTACATGTTTGTACATATTATTTATATTTCTCTACCTATTTGATGTAATATTCTGTTCATTTGGTCCAAACTTTAACTAATTAACTTAAATATATTTTTATTTTGTGTGTTAAATGTTAATGAATCATTTGTATCAATTTTATACGTTATTGGTCTAATCTATTGGTGCTCAAATAAATGGGCGATTTAGGGCAAATAGATAAATTTGTTTGAAAGAAGCGGATTTTGATAGTTTTAATTATATACAATATTGACTTAATTCAATATTGTCCAAATAGATGATTTATTTAACTTTCGATGATGAATTTTTTTCTGTGTACTGTGACCATCATATGGAAGCAAAGCGGTTGCATCCTGTAGTCCCAGATCGATACGTTTGTTACGGACATGAGTTATACAAGTTTGCAGCCACTGAAAAAATTGAGGTTCTTCTATCCATCCATTTCGCGATTTTGCGTACACTTTTCCAGGGAAAGCGGCGGGTGATGTCCAACGGGCCTGGACCGCAGCTCCTTTGATTATAATCAGAGGTGAAAGTACTGTGCCACCTGCTGCCGCACATGCCAATACTGTGGTGTTTTCTCGACCTGAGCCCCCACTAACGCGACTTAAGGCACTCCCTTTGATGCCTATGCCACAAACTCTTGAAGGATCGGAACTAGACCCAGATTCATCAGCATTGAAATTAAATTATGGTAGGATATTGTAACTCGCAACTACTTTTTCCAGTTTATCGTAGAAATCATAAACTACCTCTGGGTTTCTTGCTAACATCCTTGACTTTTGGAGATGTTCAGGTTTCTTTAAGCTGGTGTCCAGGATTTCCATTTTCAAAGCTCGTTCTTATTTGATTTTGTACCACGTAGTTCGGCACTAATTGAAGCTGTTCTTCTTCTGAACAAGGGTAGCCCATTTTTGATCTTTCCATGAGACATTCCGCAATATCATTTTCCACTTCAGGTGTCAGAGCGGGCTTTCTCCGTCCACCTAATAATTTTCCTTCGGGAATTTTACGACCATTTGTTCTATTGAAGATATAAGAAATTGGTATTCTGTAAAGATCAGCAGCTTGTCTTAATGTCAAATTATTGGTTGCAACATCCTGCACCGCTTTTTTTAAGTCTTCTGCAGAATATAGCCGCGCAGGTCTCTTTTTCACATAGGTATATTGTGTATTTAGGTGGAAAAGTGACACATTCTCAGCCGAGGCCGAGAATGTATTTTTCCACCGAAATACACATACTATTTTTTCTGCGATCGGTTAAATATCTGTTAAATCTTTGTCTTTTTGTTCTAATTGTTCAGCAGTATGAGAAACACTTTTCCGGCCTAGGCTCGTATTGTTATTCATTGATTCCTTAGCAACTATTAAAACATAATTAAAATACCAGAATACTGAGTTTTGCGACCTGTCAACCGGTCAAAAATGTTGACATTTCTTGTCAATCGCAGAAAAAAGTATTTGTCTGCGTCGGCCAAAATTATATTGTCGTACATAATTTCAATCAACTTACCTTCACGTTAAACGTTAACCGCCAAGTCACTTTATAACATGTTATGAGCAGTGTTGCCACTACAACCAACGGACATACTACAGATTAAAAAGCAGTCAGGGCCGTGCATAGGGGGGTGCAGCCGGTACAAATTACCAGGGCCCGGGTTCCGTAGGGGCCCGGCCCGCCATCTCGAAAGAAAAGTTTTATGGTTGAAACTAATTTTTTTTTTTTCAAATCACTTTCGCATATACCCACAGTGTTTCGCAAAAGCTGGTCATGGTCTAACTCCCTTTATTCGAATGGAATACCCTATACATATATATTATTGAATATTCGGATTCTGTGTAAAATTCTGAGCAGATTTCATGTGATATACCCTATCATCTGTTTTGAGTGTTTTGGAAATATTGACATTAGTTGAAAATTAACTTTTTTCTATGAGTATTGAATAATATGCGTAATATACATCCATTTTCTATTGATCAATGTGAATGACTATCATACAGTGAGTTTTTTTTTATTGCTTAATTGTTTTCAACCAATCCAATGAAAATATCCTGGTCTCAGTACTCCACTATTTAAGAGCCAATCAGAAAATTCGACAAGTTGACAACATACTTCAACCTTCCAATCGGTCATTTTGACAGCTGATTTGGACAAGACTTGTGCTAACCTAACCTCACTTTGTCCTCCAGCTGTCAGAATTGTCAATTAATTTTGTTACGAAAATTAAATAAAAAATCGCATAACTCGTGCCTATTTTCTATTAATCATAGAAAAAGCATCGTATTCAACTCGTAGGTAATGGCGGATGATTACACTACTCGCCTGCGGCTCGTGGTGCAAACTTCATCTTTCGTGAGTAATAGCCATCATTACCGGCTCGTTGAATAATATACTATTTTTGCAACTTTAATAGGCTGTAAAACCAGACATTTAATTAAAGAGCAAAACCGTGAACCGTTACATTCATAAACCATCATCTAACACCAACTTTAAATTTAACCGAAGATTAAATTAACAAAGAATTTTGAATCATGTAGGGCCGATACTTTAGATCTTGATAACGAATTTGACACGTCATTGAATTTAACAAGGTTTTGCATGGGACAAGGTCTGTAATCTGTATGATGTGGTAAGAGAACATTTAGACCCCTGATTATTTTCAACGTCTGTCAAATTCGAAAACTGAGAACAAAAGTATCGGCACGTAATGTGGACAAGTTTTTAAAATCATCAATGTCACATGCGCATTTTCACCAATGCAAAACAAGGATAGGTTGTCCATCAGGAGAAATGCGCAGAAGCAATTGATGAATTTAAAAACTTACCCTGTATCTCTCTCAATCAAGCGACAAGCGTACTCAGGTCGCTGCTGATGCGCGGTTCATACTCCCCTTACGACCCTCCCGCGATCGGAATTTTTGTGAAGCAAAGAGGTTTCACTTCAAAAATACCTGAAAAAATTAAACCCAAGGCATGTTTTTTTAACGACTTTTGGGTGAAAATTTGGGCATTCGTGACACTCAAAAAAGTTTGGGGCCCCATTTAAGGGGGCCAATTGGAATAACTGTACCGGGGCCCGCGCGTGCTTAGCACGGCCCTGAAAGCAGTATGTTTGAAATAGGAAGTTTGACCTGTTTTCATTTACCCCGATTGACCCTATTTGAATTTTAGTGTCAAATATTTGTCAAACTATGAATTAAATGCTTCGAAATAAATGAAGGTAGAATTAGTCCAGGAGATTCTTATGAATTATTTTTGTCCCAGATACTTTTAGTGACGATCGTACCTAAAGTCCGTCGATTTCATTCCGATACTCCAAAGGAATGTGAGCTGGTGGCTCCCTATACGGGCCAGTTTCTCAATTTAACCGAACCAGTATATCTTACCATTCCCGAGATCCCAATCCTTACCCTCGGATATCAAAAAAATCATTGTAGTTTTTCCAATATC